AAAATTTCTTCCAATTAAATTAAAAATAACAGTAAACATAGAGCTGCTAATAACATCCAATACTGAAAATAAACTCATTTAAAAATTTTATTTTTTATTTATCATAAAAAATGCATATACAATTATAGTGCATGATTATAAACAAAAGCTATAAATGAGAGTAATAAAACTAGTCATGACTTAAAAAATTAAAAGAAGAAATACCTACAAACTCAATCATACAAACTCAAATCATATTCCTTAAACTGATATTCAACGAACTCTTTCACTTTCCAAGACCCTAAAAATAGAAAGCAAGATAACGGTGAACTAAAACCACTCAGCAAGCCACAAATTATGCTCTAAATTTTTAAATAATATTTTTATTAAATATTTTCAAAATTATCAAATTCAATAAAAGAATTCACTCTACTAAGCAAAGTAATAATAATATAGTAGTTATCTAAATATTCAAATAATACTACTGAACAATTAAATAAACTAAAACTTCATATGAGATTTATTTCACATAACATATTTCTTTAATCCCAGACAGAATCTAAAGATCTAACCGCTTATAACTCTCAACAAAATTTCCCCCTCTTTAAAATAGAATACAAAATTTTGATCACTTATGACTCCCAACAGAATGAATTTCAAAGATTTTCAAATTCCCAGAATAAGACAATCCAAAGGATTCTGATCCCTTATATACCCCAACAAACATTTCTCATATCAAAACTCATATAACTCATTTAATATAACACATAATTCATTGTAGTGTAACAATTAAAGCATAACAGAACCACATGTTTCGTTAACTAGTTAAAATTTTACAAGTGCAAAAAATAATCCTCATATTTTTATAGTGAAAATATAAATTTAATACTTTTTTTTTTTTGGAAAAACTCCGTATTTTTTAAAACTAATATATGAATAGTGTGATCTACCTTGATTCAGCCAACTTTTGAAAATAAGCGAACAGCTAAAACCCAACCGAAGAGGCCCAAATCCCACATCAGGTGTGTGCTCCGATAGTCACATTTGATTCCTAAATTCAAAGGTCCGAGAATGCTGCACAGGTGAAATATTTAAATTTCATCATACTCCTTGGAAGGACTGGAGTCGACATGACTTAAACTAACAAATGAATACCAAATCAAAATTTTAACGGGATATTTAAATTTAAAGTTCACAAAGGCTCTTTCAATTAAATTCATTATAATAGATTCTCGGGTAACATGATCCTCTGTTATCAAGTAAATATAGTTGACAAGGTTTAAATTATCAATCTTTTAAATATCTCACAAATGATGACCATGTTGAATGTAAATCTCAACCAGAGGAAAATTTGTCCTTCAAAATGCCCAAGAACCATAATAAAAATATAAATCTTTTAAAGTGAGTCATTGCCTACCCTATTGAATGTAAATCTTAACCGCAGGGGAATGTCTTTCAGAATACCCATGAAACCCTAATAAAAAAATACAAATCTTTTAAAGTGATTCATCGCTGCCCTGATAATGACTGCATTGAATGTAAATCTCAAACATAGATGTCAATGCTTAAATCCATTTAAAATTTTAAATTCTAAAATTTTAAATGTAAATTTAATTCACCAAAAACTTAAAACTAAACTTCATTTGCCTTCCGCGATGATAAATTTGAAATTAATCTCATCTCACAAAGAGCAAATATTATGTTGGGTGTATCACTGGCATTCACTCTCAAATATTCTCTTACAAGAAGGGATGTGTCACATTCCCTCTAATTGGGTGATTTTGCTGCAAAATGACACCACTATATTACAATCACGGCCAGAACCCATATTTTTATAATAATTTCAAGTCCTTGAGTAATGAATCATATGATTTATTTGATGGGCATAAAGCCTTTTTGTTATTAATGTAAACTTAAATGTATTTCCTTAAACAAACATCCACCCCAGGTTTACAAGGTATCATTGGACGAAACAACCCATGTTTGCTGACAAGATTCCTTCTGTTAGATTGGGCTGACTACCTCCTCTGACAAAGCAGACTAGCGAGCATGACTGCCTGGGACGATGAAATTATGTGATCTTGATTGGGCTCATCTTCATTCTCCCATCACCTATTTAAAGTAGACGGTAATATATTTCAAATCATAAACTCCAAATCCCATTTTCAAATTCAACCTTCAAATTGTTGCTACTATATGTAGGGTGCTCAGCATCTATCTCACGATTAACCTTAAATGAAAATTCTCTCTCATTATCGAGAGAGATAATTAAGAATAGGGGCTTGCGCCTATAGAAAACCAGAACTCAGAATGAGGGCGAAATATATGAGTAATGTCTTATCTACAACACAATTTATCTTCTGAAAATTTATCCTGAATTTAAATATAAACTTTTCCCGTCAATAAAAGACGATGTAGAGAGGTCGGGGGCAAATTTCAGAGCCCGCATTCCCAAAATAGAGAATGTAGATATAGGAGTGATGCAAAAATAGAAGAACCACTTTATCTTCTCAGCAACACTCATAAGGTGTTTCCAGAACCCAGAAGAGCTCGGGGAAAGTACTTTCCATGGGGTTCCATATCTTGCTCTACACCAACTAGCAAGGAGATCGTCATGATTAACTCTAGAAATGAGAGCACAACAGTAGGAATAGTATAAAGGAATGCTAAGAATCTCAAGCCCTCCCAAATTCTTGGGAATACAAGTATTTCTCCATGATATTAGATGCATTTTCTTGGCAAAGATAAAGCTATGATAAAAAAAATTTGGCTCAAATCTTATCAATTTACTTATAGCAACTTTTGGGTATGATACATCCCCTAATCTAATGGTGATTATTGCGTCCGGACACCGAACATGACTAGAAACCAATAAAAAAACGCCACATCATTGGGCGCTCGGTACCGCCCTCGGTACCGACTGTGGTACCACTCAATACCCTCGGTGCACTGTCCGAACAGAATAATTTTTCCTAATCCAAAAGGCTAAAGTATTTCATATAGTGAAACAAATGTATTGAAGCCTACTAGCAAAAATCAGCAATTTGGCTTTCTAGTCATCAAGGAGATTGGCAGATATGTGCAAAAGGGGGTTAAAATTAAAAAAAAAAAATGGAGCCTTTTGGTGTTAATAGGAATCCCAATTTATGAAACTTCCAGCATTAGCAATATTGAGGATATTACAAACTTTCGAGACATTAAAGGTGTTGGGAGAAGGAAAGATAAAACTTTTGTGATGATTTACATGAAGACCAGTAAGGGCAAAGTGCGACAAAATGTTGAGTTAAGGAAGCCGCATTAGGAGGATTTGCCTGGCCAAGTACAAGTAGGTCATCTCCATAGAGAAGATTGAATGCTAATAAAGTCGAGAAAAAATGCACACAAAAAAAGGAGGATTTTTAAATATAATTTAACAAATTACAAACATAATTTAAAATGTTGTGGGCTAAACAATTCACGATTATAAAGTAAAAGAATTTTACGTATTAATTTTACACAAATTTAGCATACAAACAATAAATAAAGAAAAGCATATATAACAGCAGAGATTTTACTTGGGAAATCTAAAAAGAAAAAGGAAAAACCAAGGAGTCATGTCCAGCTAAAATAATTTCACTATCCGAGCGTTGATTACAAAAATTTGTACAATACTAGAATATTAAGAGTTGTTGTTGGAAAGTATTATCGAGTTTGTATGAGATGAAAAGCTTTCAGATGATTATGGCTGAGTGATCATAATTTGAACGTATTAGTCAGTCGCCCCGGTGACCGAATAATGGTTACAGTGTAATTGAAATTGGCTTAACATTAAAAGTCACTGGTTATAGAGTAATCACCAATACGAGTTTGAACTGAGTACTGGAAATTTCATGAAAACCGCTTCAAATGAATATGGAGCACGACTTCTTATTATTTTTTAACCAACATTCCAAAGTGAAGACTTTTCTGCATGCACACAAAGAACCGTGTTGGTCCATCTACTCCAAAAGCATATGATCTTGCTAATTTGACAGTAAATGTACTAAGTTTAAGATCAAATTAATTAGATGAATTGAAGTTGTTGGATTCCTTTAATTAATCGATCATTTTAACTATAAACAATTAAGACAATCAACCTAGCATAAATTCAATATCAATGACCTAAAAAATTTAGCTTTTTTTCATACCGCAACCACAATTCTTATTTGATAGCAATTTTTTAATAGCTTCCAAAAAATTTTATTAAAAAATAAGTTTTTACGACAACTTTAAAAAGTTACTCTCTACAATAGTTTTATAAAGCATTTGGGATAGCTTTTAGGCCACTACTTTTTTAATGCTTTAAACAAAATTTTAAACTAAAAAAAAAGACTCTCAAATAAAACATTTATCTTAATATGAATATAAAAAAAAACTTATAGTTTCTCGCAATTAAAATTTGATTGTATGACATAGAAATACAGGATAAAATGTATCAGTTGCTTTAACATCAATAAAAAAAGCGAGATATTTGATTTTGATAAATTGAAAAACTGCATGAATAAAAGGTTTGTAATTTGATGGCTTCGTTTGCTTAAAATGTTAAATAATACGATTTTGATTAGTTTAGGGTTTAGGAATCCTAAAATTTAAATGATAAAATAAATAAATACAATAATTTCAAATGACTTGAATATTTATTTGATTATGGTTAATATTTTGGTTAGCATGATGAATAATTAACTTTAAAATTTAATTTAATTTAATAAATTAGAATTTAATCAAGGATGTCTAGAGTATAAAATTAAAAATGATTTAGAAATTAAAAGAAAGAAAAAAAAGGGAATTCATTTGTTTGAATTTGTACCAGAAAATTTTTTCTAAGCATCAAAATGCAAAATCACAGACAGGTGTGCCGTGATTGTTACAAGTCAACTTACTTGACCAGACTGGAGAATTGGTCCGACTACACGAAAGGCAGATAATCTAAGTTCTCCATTGAACAACAGGAATCGAGCTAGTACTAGGGAATGCCAATACTCGTGCTATTGGTCTTCTATGAATTCACATCAGACCGTTGAATTAACGGTCAAATTTCAAATTAGAAATGTTGAATAGAACGAGTCAGGGAATTCTACAGAAAATTGACGGTTAAGGAGCTGATATAATAGACTTCGTTTGTGAGAGCTTTCTTACTGCTTTTAAAGTAATTTTGTACAAAAAAACTACTTAAAAAGTCAGAAAAAAAAAAAAAACTGTCCCAAATGAAATCACAAGTGTGAAACATTTGAATGATTCATCTGCATACCAGAACGCACAACCTTTAAAAAAATTCAGATCTTAAATCCTTGAAAAAAAAAGCAGCAAGACTACAGAGTCAATGGTGTGGAACTGTGCTCCACGAGATATCCATGTATGTAACACAGATAACCAATGACAGGTGCCGCGTCTGGCAGAGAAGTTATTTTCATATTCTGAAAGATACCCAACAAATATATCAGTTATATCAGTTATATACCTAACAAATAGTGCAGTTCACCGACTTCCAGAATTTCTATGGAACAGTTCGTTACAAATCTGCGACCATATTCTGAAAGATTTACAGTAAAAGGGATTTGTTCATTTCATGGGCATACCATATGTTGCCCAATTGGAAATATATATAGAGCTAAATAATACATATTTAACTCATTAATAACCTATTAGACACTAAGGCTTCATTTGGGATGGCTTTTTTACTGCTTTTTGAAACAACTTTTTAGTATAAAAGTTAATTTTTTTTTACTAGAAAGCTCCTTCAAGAAGCAGTAAAAAAGCCGTCCCAAACGAAGCCTAAAACACCTTAAGCTTTCTATCCAAAGCTATAATATCAATACTACACTTGTTATCATACCCATCATGTGTATTAAATTACATAATTCATGGCATATGCCAAACATTTACACCCCCTTAAAAATCAATCATTACTCCATAACAAGACAATATCAATCCGACAGAGAGAGAGAGAGAGAGTCATGTAGAATATTTAAGTTATAACACGCAGGCGCAAATGTTGGCGAAATTACAGGAGACGAGCGGCTATCAAGTAACACTTTCAGTTAACAATCAAATGGAGGCGAGGGAAGTGGCAACCAATTGCCGCATTGCGATGGGAAAGCCATTGACCAGTTATAAATGCCATATACACAAATTATCGACAAGACGAACTATATTGGCTGATATGGGGTTGGTGTTTGGATAGTTGATTGGACAAATGGAGTTGGTCAAAATATATTGATGTAAGGATGAATCATACAAAGAGCTCGAACAGAAATAATTTCCCTCCTTAAAGATTCAAAGGCCACAAGGCGCTTGCCATTTGTCATTGGATTAAGTGTGGCAGACTTTTGTGAGATCTTTTCGGACAAGCTAGAGTTTGGGAGTCGAGTGTTGTTCACTCATAAATTAATGTCGTGTTTAGTCTTCTAAATCGCTCCAAGCTTCTGATCAATATTGTCGAGGCAATCCGATTCTTTAGTTGTTGCCTTAATTTCAGTAGTTGGTGCTCTTGGGCATTCAATCAAACACATTTGCATCAAGTTGGAACATAGGATATGAATTATTGCAGAGGTTGACAGGTGTTGGGCGAGCTAGATAACAACAACTAAAGATCGACCCTATACTTAAAAAGCCGAGTCGGTAATCGTGAGTTTTGCAATCAAAGTAGATTCAAATTCATCTAGATCTGGCAAAGGTAGAAACTAGCATCTCTATCGGTTTTAGCACAGGAAAATTTAGAACATGATGAAGATGAAAGAGCGAAAAGAAGTTTTGTAAGGCAGAGGTGATGAGGACATCAGTCAAAGATTTCAAAAAACATGTGTATCATCAGAGAAATCGTAGATCAACGGCTACGATTCGGGGCCATTACTTTTGATGTATTCATGTATTGCTTATTACTTTTGCATTTTAGTTTTTTCCTATTTTACCCCTATGGGTGGTGAGTTCTTGTTGTAACCCCGAGGGCAATTGAGTCTTTCTTTTTCTTTTATTATTTAGACCTATATATAAAGGTCTTTTGCATTGTATAAGGAATGAGGAATGAATAGAAAAATTTCAACTTTTCTTTGCTCTTGTTGCTTGTGTGCTTCGAAGAGAAGAGAGAACCCTAAGAGAAGGCCAACGTAATACCCGACAGCCGCCGGAAGGTTTGGGCTCTCGGTTCTACCTTTCTTCTATTTTCTTCCTATCTTTTTTTTCTTTCTTCCCCCATACTGTCGTCCTCCTCTTGATTTCCCCTCCCACCACCTTTCCCATCTCTTCTTCCCTAACCGAACCCCTCTCTACTCCATAGCCGCTGGCCTCCCTTGGCTCCCCTAGCCGCCGGCCGACCCTCCAAACCCCATAGCCGCCGGCCTCCCATTGGCTCCTCTAGCCGCCAGCCGCTCCCCTCCAAATTCCCTCCATGAATTTTGAATTTCAAAATTCAAACCTCCCTTAATTATCTTCCTAAAATAGCTCATATCAATTTAGAAAGTGTCTTTATTTGAAATCAATTCACCATTTGAATTTCAAATACTTTCCACTTTGATAATCCTTAATTAGGAAGCCTCCTAATTACATTAAATTTGAAATTAAATTCAGATTTAATTCCAATATTTAATTAATGCATATGACCCACATTAGGGGTGTAAACAAGTCGAGTCGAGTTTTGGCTCTTATCGAGCTCGGCTCGTCGGTCAGGTAATCAGCTCAAACTTGAGTTCGAGCTCGAGTCAAGCTCAAAAGATGAGCTCGAGCTCGACTCGTTGCACTGCAAGCCAGCTTATCGAGCGGCTCGACGAGCCAGAATCAGGCTTCCCGCAAGCGAGCCCGATTCCCGAAGTCTGAATTCAGCTTTAATATTAAATGTTAAATGCTGCAGTACATTGAATACTTCAATAGTTAATATTAAAGCATAGGCCAAAGAATGCTTTTCCCCCGCTCAACCAATTCCAAAAATCTGGATTTAACTTTTTCTCCAACCCGCCCAAAGCCAAAAAACTAATATCAAATTCATTAATGTTCAATAGAACTAATGTCTATCTCTCAAAATTCAAATCCATGTGTCCATCTGTCACACTGTCTTCGAGCCCTGTGCAACTTCGGTACGCGAGCTACAAAACCTCGAGCCCAGCGTGTTTTAGGCTGGATTAGAAAATAATTCATTTCATGTTAATAATGTTTTAGACCGGATTAAAAAAATAATTTAAATTTAATAGTTATTCAAGCCGGCTCGCGAGCTTAAGAGCCAAGCTGGTTCAAGCTCGAACTCGAATAAACGAGCTCGAGTTTGAGCTCGAGCTCGAGTTTGAGCTTGAGCTCGACTCGTGAGCCCGATAAGCTTGGCTCGCAAGCCCATAAACGAGTCGAGCTCGAGCCAGCTCGCGAACCGACTCGGCTCACTTACACCCCTAGCCCACATACATTGAACCTAGACACTTATTTCTCCTCCCCATATGGCCGGCCCCCCTCTCTACTATTTTCTCTCTCCAATTTAATCCCGAATCCCTCATTAATTCTCCAAAACTATTCCGCTTCTATTTCCTAACCTAAGTCCAAGGAGCTTCAACCCACAACCATAACCCCTTTCCCCTATCCAAGCCCCTCCAAACCGCCGGCTTCCCCTCTCCCTCCTCCATAAGCTGCCGGCCTTCAATAATCCCCAAGCAGGAGGAGATATCTTTGCCCATGGATGGCGGATCCAGAGTTTGATTCCGGCTTCGTTACGATCAAGAAGGCTTCGTCGACATCCCACGATCAACTTTCTTTGATTTCAATTTGGAGTTTGACGAATCTGTGGAAGAATACGCGAACATAATTCTCTACAAATTATCTGCCACTACCGATCAACGCCTCGCATCCATCCGTTGGGATATTGGTCACCGTCCATCGACTTCTTCTATTTCGACTACTTCTCCGGCAAGCTATACCATAAGCGCCACTTATCTCTTAGTGGCATCACTAGGTTGCTGATATTCTACCTCTGCTAAAGCTAGGGTTGCTGATATTCTACCTCTGCTAAAGACACTACTTTCATGAGCGAGAGTGAGGGAACTTAAGGTGAAAATATTTATTTGTTAAGCCGTAAATTTTTGTTATTCATTGCCGTTAGTTTTACTTATTTATTTTGTTGTTATTTGCAAGTATCCTTTTAATCTCGTTTGTAACCCCATGCTATTACATAACTTCTAATTGAGAATTCAGGAATCTAACTTGGTGAAACATAAGGTTTACAATTGGTAAAGCTTTTCAAATTTTTATTAATTTCCAAAGCAATTCTTGTTTTCATACATTTTTCACATCAAGAGGCGTAAGCAATTGAATCTTGGGAAGTCCTAGTTATGGTTTTTGCAATAGATAAGGTGTGTAGGATCTGATGATCAGGAAAAATGAGAATGGGAAGTGTAGCTTGAGATCGCAAAAGAATGAGCTGATTGTGGATCTAGATGGATTTGGAGCTCAATATGGGAGATTAGCATTAGAGGTCCCAATGGGATCTGGTGACTGTTGAATAAACGCTTGGATCAAAAATGAGATATAGAAATGTCATAGGACTGAAATTGTGCAATGAAGATTGACAGCTCTGAGCTGAAGTTGAAAGTGCATGAGATGAAGATCAAGAAATGTTGTCGAGGCAAAGTCTCACAATGAAGATCGGTGATGTGGGGGTGACTGTTGAATAAACGCTTGGATCAAAAATGAGATATAGAAATGTCATAGGACTGAAATTGTGCAATGAAGATTGACAGCTCTGAGCTGAAGTTGAAAGTGCATGAGATGAAGATCAAGAAATGTTGTCGAGGCAAAGTCTCACAATGACATGGCAGTTCTTCAGTTTGCATGAATCAAAATATGGATTTGATCTGGCGCAATGGATTATAAAATGCAGATGATGAGAAATGGCTTTAGTACAATGAGTGTGGAGTGGAGGAGCACTTATCAACAAGAGGATTTCTCAACCAGAGCGCCAATTATTATGAACTAGGAGTATCATGAACTAGGAGTATCGTCTTGATAAATGATAATTTTCAAGCTCATAGACAACTCTAAAAAAAGGTAGATTGAGATAGGAGAAGATAATAATTGTAAGCTTGAGAGGTTGAGAGGGAAATTTTTAATTTTATTATACAACATAATCCCTATTTATTGATCTATACAAGGAGTCTTATTAAAGAAAAAAATAACTACATAATTATTGCCTTAATATAATCCTTCCTAAATCAGCTGCCTAGCTATGGAAAGTAATTAACGTGATTCAGGTGGGCTTCTTACGGATCCCTATTCATAGCTGTGAGATCAATAAGGGAACGAGAGGCTGGGATTTAACAATAATCCTTGAAGGAGACATTGTTTTTTTTATTGTTACCATACACTCCCCAATATGAAGTATATATAGAGCTACTCATTAATAATCCATAAGACACAAAATCACTTAAATTATTTATCAAACATTTTAATACTCTTAATCATTCTATTATTCTGCATGTTATGCTTATTAACATATATTATCTATAACAAATTCCTAACATGCAATATACAATCATTGTCAAGTTTGGAAATGAACAAAGATAAATTCATGATGAGAGAATTTTTAAACAGATTTGAACTCTATGACTTTCTTTTTGGCAAAATAGATATAGTGCCAACAATAAACAAAACTAAGATATCCAAAGCAACCTTTACAAAACTGATATGCAATGAGAGGATTTAAAACAATATTGCATGGCAATATTTCCATCCTAAAAAACAAACAAGGAGAATGAAAATTACCTTCCTCGGTTAGGACAGGTATTTGCAAAATGAGAGGGATCACCACAGACAAAGCAACTGCCTGGTACTCGCTCGCCAGTTGCCGATACAAATCTAAGGCCATCAGCTTGACCTCCTCTCTCGCCTCGACCACGGCCACCCCTTCTTGCAGTAGAGGATGATGACCTTCCACTGTTCCCACGAGCAGCACCACGACCTTGTGCTGCACCATTTTCTAGATTTTCTTCCCATCTGCATTCCAAGGATGAGCAGTAGTATAACAGATCTATTAATCATGTGATCATAAGCTTATAGCATTGATGCCATATAGATTCAAAAATTAAAAAAGTAGGTAAATTAGAGGATGAGTGCAGGCCAGCCATATTGGGCATCAATTGTCAAGCATGTCACATAGGAAATCTGGAAGTAAAGTGCAGTCTCCATCATTTCTCAAAAGTGGAATATAAAATAATTCATCCTCAGAACCAGGGTTCCAGTGCGCCGACTGGGAAATCCCATCATCGCACAAAATAGAGCCTAAAGTTGCATTCAGATATGCAAGAAATGGGCTGCAAGTGAAGCATTTGAAGCCCTGATTGGATCTCTTTCACAAACGAGTATAGATAATGCAGACCAATTTCATGACTCGTGATCCATTTATAAAAGTAACAATCCCTAATGGATCATCTTGCAATTATGCCAACACAAAAAGACACTGTAAAACTGGAAAAAGCAACAAAAAAAACAACCATACCTAAAAGCTATATTTTTAGAATTATTAAAAGTTGCTAGCATGACGCTTAAATAAAGGCTTTCTGGAAGTATAAGTTCATCAGAGGTTTTGTTGAACATACACAAAGAAATCACAATTTCGTGACTGACAGGCATAGAACTTCCTTCCTCTATTGCTTTCTGTATTAGCAGTCCTCAACGTACATGGTTCACCACAATTACACAATATGGGGCCTGCAATAGCAGATAATTAAGAAATAAATACCGTTTCATCAAGGTTGAAGTAATAACTTCTTTCATTTTTTATTTCCAAAATTTTCATTGTTTATGCGAGTGTGAGTGAAGTTATTTTTTACACCTTAATTTTGGAATGGAACATCCTATGCGGTTTATAGCTTTTCAGGAATTCATGAATATGAAAAAAAAAAAAAAAATCGAACAGCAGCATTTATTCTCCGTATGAAAACTTGAAACAAAAAATTTTTAGTTCCTCAAATTTGGCAATCAAGTACAAATGCCAGCCGCAAACCAAAATAGAATGTCTAAAAGAAACCGAATAAAGTATAATCTTCAATGAACTTTTTTTTTTCAATTTTAGTAATCAGCTTTACTTTTCTAGGCAAAGTGATAAGAAATAGTTGAGTTCGCACTAACCCTAATGGGAATACTTGAGTTCGCAAGCAAACCTAACAATACACGGTAAAATCAGCAAGAAAAGTAGAAGAATTTGGGTGGAAGCAATAAAAATTCAGTAGATAATTTTATAGAAATAAAAGCGAAGCAAGAACGAAACAAAGATGCAATCGATCATCAATTCGAGAGGAGGATCGTTCTCTCCCAATCTATAGAGGAGAAGCATAGAGCCCAAGACACCAAAGAGAACTTCAAGAGAAACAATAGTCATGCCTCCCTAATCCTAGCCCCCCTCTTCCTTTTAATACATACTTCCTAATACAAAGCCAATAAAAGCTTTCCTAGAATAAATCAAATTCAAATACAATTCAAACGGATTTCTCTAATAACTGCCCACCCCCTTTCCCTCTCTCTAGATCCCGCCCAAAGTGGGCCCCTCAGTCCCCACGGAAGGAGGCGGCTTAGCCCGCCTCCTGTATACATGAACCGGCCCAGGCGGGGCCGGTTTGGGCGGTTCAGGAAGAACCGTATCACAAATCCAATCACTAGCTAAATAAGACAATTTCCAAAATTCAACTATTTAAGTCCGTGTCAAATGAATTGCATAATAACAGCAAGTGGAGGCTGTTCCATCTTTAGCAAAAAGAGAATGCTTGATATGGCTTATATTACCGCAATTGTAATTGCTTTATTTTGCAATATGGTGTAAGCTTTTCGAATGAAGCATTTAATATAAATAAAGCTCCTCATTTTGGAAGCTTATACCTCCCCTTTAAAGATCCATGCAATACCACTCGACCATATAGTTCGTGCTAAGCAATTTGTGCTTCTAAAATAAAATAGTGTTAAGAAAATAAGGATAGAAAAAATATTTAGAGAACAGAAAATCTAAGTCGTTTATATCACCTGCACTATTTCTAGAATTAGAAATTGTAGACTGAGCTCTGCATGAGCGGGAAACTTGAGAGGGGCAATCATTAGATGAATGCCCTGCTTGTCTGCAACGCGAACAAGGAGTTGACCCGGTATTTCTTCTATTGGTAGCATTTGGAGGATCCGATGTTTGACCTCTAGCTGAGAGCAAGAAGCAAAAATAATAAGAAATGATTAATTTTCACTAATGAAGGACAACTAGATTTAAATGAGCACCAGATGTAACAATTAATTCACGGCAAATAAGAAGATTTATAAATCCAGATCAAGTATGGTTGAATGCTAGAACTATAGCAGTATCAATGCTCAAAATACTAAAACACATAATTCACAATTTGAAGCCATAATCTTAAATTGGGCTGAATAAATTAGGTAGAAAGAGCACATAAATCATACCTAACTACATTTTTCAGCATAAAGAAATACTGAACGACTATATAAGCATAGAAGCAAATCCTAATAGTTCAGATGTTAAGACCAAAAATCATAACCAGCATTTTCAAGAACATGCTACTCTATAAATACATATCAATAACACTCTTCAAGGTCACAGAATTTCAAGAAAGCTATCTCACCATATACATGCTAGTATGAATAAGAAAGTTGGAAGTCCGTCGAGTGCTTCCTCCATGGAGCGTTCAAAGTGAACTAGCATATCACTGAGTTCTTGAACACTACATGTTGGATCCGATTTTTTCATGAGCAGTCGCGTGTGACTAGTGGAGGTAAGAAGAGTTCTTTTTTCATTTTTAATCAAGTAATGTTCAAGGGCCGAGTGTCACCAGCCATGAGCAACCCAACGGTTCATCTAATCTCGAGCTATTTTCTAGGTCAACTGTTGAGTGAGTTTGAGTCGTTTGTGTGGACTCAGTAGGCATCTAGTTTGTACACAAGGACAATGGACCTTCATGATAGGTAGTTCAAAATCCCTCTTAGTTTGTTGGATAAAGACCTGATTCTTCACGATCCTTCACTCTGAGATAGGGACAACTCCGTTGGTGCAGGAAATGGTGGGCCTGCATATGCAGACCTCTGTAAGAGACCACTCTACGCTGAGGATCATTGAGGGTCAAAAGCTGGGCATACAAGGAACCAAGTGCAGCCGTCCTAAGTCAAAGAACTCTTCACGGTTCACTTGCGACAACTCCAACGTGGTGCAAATCATCCCCCCAACCAGTCGTTTGGAGGCTAAGATCCCAACCTCATTGTCTTCTTCCTACTGGGTGAGTTCATGCCTTAAGAGTAAGCTTGGTCATATCTGAGTAGAGTTTGAAAGAAAGATCAAAGTCCTAAAGAAGGCGGGCTCAAAGAGTGATGATGTTGCCCCGTTGCACATAGAGGTGTAAGAGTTAAGGGTCGAGGTGATGGCGAATCACAAGTTCCTGGAGTTGTTGCAATTAAGTTAGTTCATGGCCGGTGATTGCTTCAACCTGTGAGATCTAGTATAGAAAGGGATAGTATCTCCAGACCCTTATTAGTTACTGTATATAGGTTATTCTTGGGGAGAAAGTAGGATCACAACATATAATGTAATTTGTAAAAACACTATGTATTTACAAAAATGTTAAGAAATAAAAGTTTTTAAGTATTGTGTACACTTCTTGTTTGTGACTAAGACTTATCCTTTCTAATTGTTTTGTTTTTTACTTGCTTCTTTCTAAAGACATGATTGTTTAGAAACATTACATCTTTACCACATCACACAAAAGCGACACTTAATAATCAGTTGAGGGCCACTCTTCATTAAGGTGAGTCAAGCATGAATCTTTGTTGAGCAAGTCAAGTGCGGCCCTTAGTTTGCCAATTGTGAGCGACTATTTGTTTTCGGAATGAGTGTTCGCTCAGGAAAAGATGATGCTTACAACATGAACCCTGCTTCCTGGTAGGGGTGTAAATTCGGGTTCACGGGTCGGGTTTGGAACGAACCCGAATTGGCAGAGCTTAAACGAGTTGACCCGAACCCGACCCACCAACCCGCCAGAATTTTTTTTCATTTTTTTTTCTTTTTTACTTCAGCAAATTATTGAAAATAAGAGAAACAATAAAATTTAAATTGTATTCACAATTTCTTACAAGTTACAACTTAAAAATTACAAGTTAAAAAAATATATTACAATTTACAAATAGTCAAATACAACTTAACTAAACAACAATAAGTCTAAAACAAGTTCTTAATTGTTCCCTACTTCCCTTTCGCTCTTTCAGTCCCATGGTTGATGGCTCCATGCATAAATGCATAATCATCAATTGCTCACCATTCACTTAGAAAAAACTTGCAATATTGCAAAAGAAAGAAAAAATAAATAAAAGCAATAATTCATTGATTGCTGCTTGCTAGCAACCAAAGGCCAAAGCCTTAGGCTCAGGGTGAACCTAGCAAAGAAACATCAGCTGCAACAACTCCAAAAATTGCACCCTCCAAAGTTACAAATTGGTAATATGACTTTAATCAATTTAATTTAATAGTATTTGCTCAAGCCATAAAAATCACTTATACCAATTTATAAAACCAACCAACCTAACAATAGCAATGCAGAACTACAACAGAAAAAACCAAAAGAAGGCAATAACTCTATAGCTGACAGCCATTACTCATTAGCCCAAGTGCCCAACAACACTCAGCAACAGAAAAACCAACAGCAGGCAGCAGCTTCGCAATTGGCAGCCCAAGTGCCCAAACAACATTACAGACTTCAGTCTACAGCAGGCACCAGGCAGGTAAAACAACACTTCAATCTAAACTCAAAGGCCAAATAACAAAAAAACAGAATGCGCACAACCTTAAAGGCCAACAGCCGAAATGCCAAATTGCCAACACCAACCTGACAACAGCAGCACTAACTCACCAAAGCTGATTACAGCAGGAAAACAACCTGCAAAGTGCCAACACCAACACTAACTCATCAAGTCACCACAGCACTACTCACCAACCCGACAACACTAACACCAACTGTCCAACACCAACACCAAAAGTTCAAAACCAATACCAAGTCACTACCAAACATTCCCACACCAGCAGAATTATAGCAGGCATCAAGCTTTATAAGCCAAATAATGGAAAAAAAAAACAGGTGTTACACATATGCTCACTAAGCCATTAAACCACCAACAGATACATAACTCCTCCACCAGCATTAAAGTAGCCATAAGTAAACAGTAAACTAAGTAAAGGTGAGATAAAACTCAACAAAATAGAATAAAACATCAATCCACCATATGAAACATCAACCCATCAGTCCACCATATGTTTAACAATTAACACAACTACATAAATAAGAATATTAAAATAGTGTCTCTAAACTTTAAGAATTAAAATGCAATGTTCACTGACTCATTCACGACTCCAATTTGATTTTTGTCAACATCCAAACCCATTATGTCATCGGTCATCGCATCAAGATCAAGGTCTTTTGCATCTATTACAAATGCACCAATATTAATTTGTTAACAACTTAATTGCATAACAAAACTATATGCTATATAGTAATATTAATTTATTACCTTGGTCACTATATAATCAATCTTTAGTGCATACCAATGCTTCCACAATATCATATTTCAAAGCACTTCGATATTGGTCGAGAACTCTACCACTATTGCTAAAAGCACTTTCGGATACCATAGTAGAGATTGGAATGCACAATACATCACAAACAATGCTTGAGACCTGAGGTAATCTGTGCTGATTGAGTTTCCAAAATTGTAAAATATCTAACTCACTATTCTTATCCAAATTGGGTTCGCCCAAGTATACTTCAAGTTCCGACTTCATATTTCTTGGCATTGTTACTTCTTCTTCAAAAGTGTCATAATCCTGTGCAAATGATCATAGGTTTTATAATTGAAAGAGAGGAAAAGGAATTGTGAAATGCAAATTGGCAAAGTATAACTTAAAGGAATTGTGATTTAATGATTGTTGTTGATTGAGTAGTTGAAGGAGTCCTTTATGAAGATTGTGATGTTTGAGATTCAAAAGTTGAGGCTTGCTCAATTGTTGTTGAGTAGTTTGCAAATAGGGATTCCAACTTCTCCTTGACTTTTTCAAGCTCAATTACGTAACTACCCACATACAATTTCTTGTAACACAATTCAACAAAGTTAAATTTATATCAAGGGTCAAGAATAACAGCTATTGCCAAGAGTACACTGATGTCTGGGCAGTGCTTTTCAAATTTTGCAAGCATACCAACAGTCATTCTTCTTATATACTCCAGCCCAAAAGACAATTCATCTTCAACGTGGCATATGCAGTAGAGACATATGGAAAATACATATTTGCAGTAGGATACTTAGATTCAGAGAAGAGACAAGTGATTTCATAGAAGGGTGCTAAAAACTTGCATATATTCACCATTTTTTTCCACTCAGATGATGAAGGACAACATTTGTAATTGGAGTCACCCAATTCCAAATGCTTGAAAGCATGTCTGAAATAAATTGTGCTGTCCAACATAACAAAAGTAGAATTCCATCTAGTTGGCACGTCTTGTCTAAGGCCTCTGTTACTTTCAAAAAAACTTTGCCTCATAGACTCAAGAAACTTCTGCTTTCTTAATTGAGAGCCCTTTACATATTTAATGCTCTCCCGCACCTTCAGAATAGATGAATCAATTTCTTTCAAACCTTCCTGAACAATAAGATTCACTATATGTGCACAACATCTCATATGAAAAAATTCACCATTGCATAGAAGACCATTTTTCAAATTCAAATGGTTCCGATGAAAATCAGCATAAACATTATTTGTAGATGCATTATCTAAAGTGATGCTGAAAAGCTTGCTATCAAGTTTCCATTCAATCAAAAATTGTTGGAGTTTCTCAAACAATGCTAACCCATCATGGGGGGTGGCATGAAACCAAAATTTATAACTTTTTTCTGTAATCTCCAATTATTATTAATAAAATATGCAGTCAAGCAAATAAAATCATCTATGTTGATAGAAGTTCACAAATCTAAAGTTAAGGAAACTCTACCCATACAACTACATAGAAGAGACTGTATTTGAACTTTTTCCTTAACAAACTTTTTCTTGCAATCATTTTGTGTTGTATTTCTAGAAACAAGGTGCAAATCAAGACGCAAATAACGAAGTAATGATCTAAGACCAGCCCATTCCATACATTGGAATGACAAATCAT